AAAAAAAAAATCGGTTGTTTGCTCTGCTTCTGAGGGGTGGGATGGAGTCAGTCCCCCGCTGAAGGTGTTTTCTTGCCTCCCAGGGAGAAAATGTGTTTTTCCTGGTGACCAATTTCATCGCCACAGCGCAGCAAGCCCAGGGCAGCTGTCCCGAGGTGAGTAAGCTGTGCCGATCTCAGCCCAGGGTGACGGGCTTGGGTTTGTACAGTGCTGCTGCTCGGGGGCTGTCAGGAGCTCAGAAAACCCCGGTGAGAGACCAGGGAGAAGGTGAAGGAATAATTGTTATTCCAGACAGAACTGATCCCCCTCATTCTCCTTGCTCCATAGATCTCTCTTGCACTTGCTCTGTCGTGCCTGCATGAACCAAGGCGTGTATCCAAGCAGCCTGGCCACAATCCCTTGTGGTGATGAGGAGGACACGGGACATTGTCTGTTGGGTCCTCGCCAGCTCTCTGGGCTTCTTGAGGGGTGGTGACGCTGTGTGATCACACAGGCTTTCTGCAGCCTTTGACAAGGGCTGCTCTGGGGAGGCTGAGCTGTGTTGCCCTGTTGCTGTTCCGTCTCCGCAGCGTGGCTGGCATTAGCTCTGCCATCCCCAGCTAACACCTTTGTTACCTGCGTTCCTTCTTGATTCTCACACATATTCTTCGTCTTGACTTGCTGTTCCATTCTTTTGCCTCTGTTGTGCCATTTTTCCTGATTCTTCTGTACAGACTCCATGGATACCTGTGTCATGTTTCCTTTATAACTCTGCTGCAGGACTAGCATCCTCCCCATCTTAGTGTCCTATTTTTAGGAGGAATAGAGCACAAGGTCTAGGTGGTTTCCCAGTCAAGCCAACACTTAGTGGTATATGTTCTCTGGGAGAAATCTTCCCTTTAAGGCTGGATTCAGGCCAGCTCCTCAGCTGAACTCTCCCAAGCTGGACCTCGCTTGGCAGACAGGAGCAAATGTCTTTTAAGCTAAGCTGCTGCTGCAGCCTTGTGCCTGAGCCAAGCACTGTTTGTCCTAATGGTCCCTTTGGCTTTTGCTGTGGCCCGCTGTGCTGCGCCCAGCCCAATCCTGCTTCCCAGCTTGCCCTGTGCTGCAGGCTGGGCTGCACTCCAAACGCAGGCTGCAGAAGAGGAGGAGCAGCCCTGGGTTTGGGTCAAGGAAAGTGGTGCTGATGATCCCTCCTTAAAATATCGAGAACTCCTGGAGTACTGATCGCTGCAGGAACGTCTCCAGGGGGAAATGTGTGCCATAGAGCATTTCAGAGTTCTCTCACAGGCAGTCACTGGCATCTCTGGATATTTATTTTTGCAGTGTGCGAGCCCAGGATACAGAGAGAACAGAGCATTTCATGCCGTTACAGCCCCGTGGTGTATCTGGGTGCCTGTCACAGCCTCCACCCTGTGCTGCTCTCCAGTAGCTTCTCGGTTCCTGACTTTGAGGCTGTAGCTGACATTCATGTTTGGGAAGCTTTGAAGATTTAGCAGTGACAGCTTTTGGCTTTGCAGGAAGTTCTGAATATTCTCAATTACCAAAGTATTCTGTGCTGGCAGAGCAGGGAAAAGTCCCCGAACACAGGACGGGTTGTTTTAGCAGCTGATGTCTGTGTTGAGCTCAGATCTGTGGCTGAGCTGTGCCTTACTCTTAGGGAGACCTTTCAGCGTTGATCTCAAATACTTGGAGGGGTTGGAAACCCTCTGCCTCTATGTGCAAGGTGCTCTGAAGATTATAAAAATAGACTTGGAGCCAGAAGGCATTAGTCAGACAGTGCATCCATTCTGTCCTGATGCCAGCTCTGGCACTAAGGGACTGTTTCATTTAGATTATGGTCTGTGGCACATCCAGCTGTGCTCAGCTCTTACAGGTACAGATGCTGCTGGTGGATGTGCCCACGAGCGGCACTGGTCCCAGCCCCAAGCAGCACAAGACCGTGTCCCAAGGGGATGAGAGGGGTGTTAGATTTTGAGAGAAGCCTCATTCTTCTTTGTTCACATGTGATACAACTGGCGATTTGCTCTGCACGTGCTTCCCGGCCCCTGGTATGTGGCTGCATAGCTGTGGAGGGCTGGGGATCAGTATTGTTTGTTTCTGATAAGATTAAGAAAAAAGTCATTCCATACCCACATATTTATGACTACAGAAAGTAAATATAAACCTTTCAGCCCTGAGGTTCCAAGGGTTTACGCACAGACCTCTGCTGCCTGTGTCTGAAATCACCCCTGTCCCAGGAACACACAGGCTGTGGACTCCGAGCAGCATCTGAGCTCTGCTCTGAGCACATTGGGGATGTCTTCTGAAAACAGAAGAACTGTAGTAGTTCACCTGATTGTCAAGAAACCTGTTCTAAATGCTGGTGTGCTTATACTCCTGTCCCATCCCAAACTTGCAGTTCTTGGTTAGATTCCTAGAAAAATTTGTTACTCCTCATTTTCCCAAGGTTTTAGACCCTTACATAACGAAGATGCAACAATGGTTTAGAGAGCTATAGGAGCACAGATCCAGGGCCCTATGAGGGCTTTTAGCTGAGTCTAGATCTCTTTGCTTCTCTCACAATGCACCTTTGGCACGTGTAACCTGGTTTGGGTCATGCCTGTGGAGAATGGCTGGGGTTTAAGTTTTCTGTAACACCGTCACAGGCTTCAGGACCTGAATTTCTCCCAAGCTTTGCAGCTCTAATGTCCTGAGCACCCACAGCATCTGCCTGTTGAGTGGCACTTGTCATGCGTCTTGTTCCCTGGATATGGGGAGAGACTGACACACTTGTCTGCAAATATCTGTTGTCTGGGTCCTTCTGGGGGCTGAATCCATGACCTCTGATTGGGATCCAGGACAGCAAAGTGCTCTCATAGGTGCTTATTACACAGGTGGGTCCTACAAGCCATGAGCAGGACATCAGCGGGGATGAGAGGCATGAATCCAGCAGCCCCCCCTCTCCAGCAGTCAGACAGGACTCCTGGTCCCTTCGGTAGTCCTGCGAGCTCCCTCATAGAAACCCTGCCTTGCTCCCAGGCCCGTTCACCTCCTCGCTGGCTCATCCATCCCGATGTTTGCTGTGAATCCCACGTTCATGTGCACGCCTGCACTTGCGATAGCGGATGGCTCCCAGGCACACGGGCCCCTGCGACCGGTAGTCCCACTCCAGCTGCTGGCATTTAGACCCCCATATGCTCATGCAGAATAGAGCCCCTTGCCCAGAGAATATTTAGAAATGGAATTTAGTCCAAAGACAGGACAGACTGTGCCGATGAGGTGCAGGGCAGCTCTTTACATGCAGCCAGTCCTTTGCATCCTTTTATCCCTCTATTTTCCAATGTCTCTTCCTTCTCAGCTCATCTAGATCCTTCCCTTTCCATGCCTTTTCTTCCTCCCCTAAACATCCTGTCCCCTAAATGTCCTGTACAATCCCAAAATGCTCTCCTGCATCCCGTAATGATTCCCATGCCGCTAGGCAGCGTGTACCCCACCCCAGCCCAAAGCTGCGTCAGAGAGTGGTTCCTCTCAGCTCACACCAGGAAAACAGGGCTGAGACTGCCCCAGGACAGCCCGGGGCGGGGCTCAGACAGACAGACAGACAGACAGACGTGCTTCTTCTGATTCCATATCTGGGGTTTCCCCACCTGCCTTTGGGACTCCATGCCCCTCTGGAGGTGGGTTTCTGGTGGGCTGGAAGCTCCTGCGATGGCCTGGGAGTCGCTGGGGGAGGGTGTTACTGGTATTCCCCCACTTAACGTTGTCTCTCGGTGTTGGAATAGGAGCTTTTTGCTGCTCCTGGCAATCAGGTGGGTCCAGAGGGAGGGTGAAGCTTTCCAGGTCTCCTGTAGAACTTCTGCTAGGCTGTATTTCGGGTCTCTTCAGCCTTCCCCAGGGGAATTGTGGGGGTGCTGTCCAAGGTGCTTACAGGGCTCTGCCGGTCAGGCCTTCCCGAACCCAGCCACGTGCGTTCCCAGTCCCAGTCGAAAGGTCCGATCTATCTCCCGAGGTTTCCTCTGCTGCCGAGCACCCCAGAGAGCACGGAGGCAGGTGGGAAGGACTGCCCCTAGGAGATGCCTCTCTCCTTGCTGGCTGGAGGCTGCCCGGGTTCTGGACATGGTGGATGTCTGCCATAAGCACTTGGGGCGTGCTTGGAGAAACGGGAGCAGCAGCCGCACAGAGACGTGGGTGAGTGACCGCACAGTGACAGCGCTTCTGTCTGTCTCCCTCAGAGCCCCGCTGTTCTCAATGCGATGTGCACAGAAGATGCAGACTGTCCCATGGGAAGCCCAGTGGTTCGTGGCAATGGTACTGGGAGCTTTGTTAAAAATCATAAAATCACTTCAATCCTGTTTGGTAGCAAACAGATCCACAAAGGTGCCTGATTGCCCAAGTTCAGTGCTTTTTGTAAGCGGGCAGGGAAGCGCTCGCCAGCCGTTTATTCTTGGCAGAACCTTACAGCAACCTGTCACGGCTGGACGAGCCGGTGCTGCGGGTGCACATACAGCCTGCTTTGTTTCTCACGTTGGCTGCTGGAATTGAAACCGCTGTGCTGTGTGATTGGCAGCTTTTCCTTTTTTTTAATAAAACCTGGCTTTTATTTCACGCTGATTAATATTAGCAGCCCCTGTGAGTTCAGCTGGACAAAGCTGTTTCGGCTCTAGGAGGTCAGTTGCCAAAGCTTTGTGTGCAGGATTGCCCCAGCTTCCACCCAGGGAGAGTGTTCCCGTTCTGCAGCCACGAGGCCGGACAGACAGGCGCTGACAGCAGCAAGCAGCATCTTGTCTTTGTAAAACAGCCCCTGTCATTCGGCCTCAAGGGAAGTTGTTGGGTGGGGAAAGCCCTGAAGGGTCACCTTTGTGGCTCAGGTTCTGAGAAGGCCAGAACGATCCTGTGGCCAGGGTGTGATGCCAGGAGGGTGGCTGCAGAGAAGATGTTTCAATAAAAGGGATAGTAAATGATTTGCCTTGTTTCATTTCTAGGGATAAAAACTGGGAAATGTGTGATGTTCAACACCACCCATTCCACCTGTGAGATCTATGGCTGGTGTCCTGTGGAGAATGCCACCCTGCCCAGGTATGGCACAGGCTCAGGGGACAGCGGGCGTTGAGAGCTTCGGTTGCCTCTCTCTGCTCTCTCTGTAAACAGGGGCCTTGCCCAGGGCTCAGCCAGGCTCAGGGAGATCTTTGACATTGATCTACTGATCAGTTAAGCCCAGAGAAATTCACACAAGAGCATTTCTTGGAACTGTCTGTTGTAGCTGAAGTCCTGGGATGGTAGACGAAACTGCAGAGCGAGGGGAATGGGGACTTGCTGTGGCTGCTGTGCGAAATTTTGAGTTCGTTGGCGGTTGTTTTCCAGGAAACCTCTACTGGCTGAGGCGGAGAATTTCACCCTTTTTATAAAAAATACTGTCCACTTCACCAAATTTAATTTCTCCAAGTAAGTATGATGCTGCTCCAGCCAGACTGTGCTTGCAACTTAGTCCAGCCCCTGCGCTGAGCTTGTCTGCCCAGGGGCTGAGCAGCAGAGGCGGCCAAGAAGCCGTGTGCCATCCAGGACAGCTGGTGGCCCGGTCCATTGTGGTTCACGAGGGTGAGTTCAGGAGAACGCTGGTTGCTTTGGCAGCATGTGTGTTTGCAGAGATAAGAGCAATGGGATGGGGAGCCCCTGAATAGAGGGACTGTTGTGCTCCCACCTGTCTAGAGCATTGCAAACAGAGCATGACAAGGCCAGTCATTCCCATTTTACCCCATATACTTTTGTATTTTAGTCCCTGCAAAGGGGCTGCACTGGCCCCACAGCCCCAGGCATGCTGGCTGTGCTGCCCTGCTCTGGCAGGAGACGCAGCTTGGGGCAACTGAACTGTCCGTTATCAACCCTAGAGCGGTAACTTAGGCTGGGTCATTGCATCTCACAGCGGTGGGACCTCGGAGCCAGGAAAGGGAGGAGAAGCACAAAGGCAGAGGGAGATGAGAGGAGCTGGGAGGGGAAGGACCATGGTGGGTGCTGTAAATGGGGATAACTCCCCATGTGATTCCTCTGGGCCAGTTCCTCTCCATGCTCTCTCCACCTGAGGCTTTAGGTGAGGCAATGACTGTCTCCCTCCGAAGCAGGAGCATTAGTGGTCCCACTCCAGCAGGAGGGTCTCCTTTTCAGTCCTTCAGCAGGGCTTTCTGTCTTCCCACACCCCACTCCACCCGTGACACCTCCCTCTCTCTCTCTTCTGTCTCAGGTGCAATGCTTTGCAAACCAGTGACCCCACCTATTTCAAGAGCTGTACGTACGATCCATTCTTCAGCCCTTTCTGCCCCGTCTTCCACATACGCGACATGGTGGAGGCAGCGGGAGAGACCTTTGGAGACCTCGCATTGCTGGTATTTGCTTTTTCTTTAAGAGTATGGAAGATGACTGCAAATTCCCCAAGGGCATGGCCAAGGGTCCGGGGACAGGACTGACCCCCGAAATGCTAAAGGAATGATATGGTCTCTCTGTGTGATCTGTGAACACTTGAGCAGTACAGCACTCAGCAAATCTCTGATCCCGTGCTTCTCTGGGAATAACATGTGTTTTGCAGGGGGGGAGCATCGGAGTTCGCATCAAGTGGGACTGTGACCTGGATCACCCTGCTGCCCAGTGCCAGCCGCAGTACTCCTTCAGCCTGCAGGACAGGAGGTACAATTTCAGGTGAGGGTGCTGGGACAGTGGCAGCACGGGTCTGTGGGATGAGCACACAGCAGTCATTCGAGATGTTGGTTTTCCTGGGTGATGCTCTGAAAGGAGCAGCAGCGACACTGGGATGTGGTAACTCAGCACAGGGTCTGTCAGCGCTGGGGTGCTCTGGTTGTTTCCGCACCTTGTTGCTCTGCTCTGTTTGGAGCTGTGCCAGGCATTATCTGCCTGAGGGCAGGGACGTGTGGCTGTCCACAGCCATGCTGACCCTGAACTGGACGCACTGGACCCACCCCGGGCTGGGTGCTGAGAGGACGCTGATGCCCTGCTGCTGAAGTGGTGCCATGCTAGTGGGTCATGGCACCATGTGCGTCGCTCGCGTCCCAGCCCGCTGAAGGCCACAAGGTGTGCACAGGCACGTGGTAGCCCCGGCGATCGTTTGGCACTGGCAGCCCTCTTCCCTCACTGCCTGTGGATTTTTGAGCCACAGCCAACGTCTCCTGCAGAACTGCCTCCCCTCCTGCAGAACTGCCTCCTACTACTGGGACTCCCAGCGGCGGCTCTATCGCAACCTGCTGAAACTCTACGGCATCCGCTTCGACATCTCCGTGCACGGCCAGGTACCGTCTCCTCTGCAGACTCCGCACGCGCAGTCCTGGCTGCCTTGTCACCAGGGCTGACTCCTCGCACCGCTCCCCGCTGCTCTCTCCTGCAGCCAGCCCCATGGCTTCCCGCTGGCATCGCTTCTCCTCACCCTACTGAGCTCTTCACCTCTTTCCAGAGTTTTCAAAGCAGAGCAGGAATAAATGCTCTCTCCCCTTTGAAGATAAACTTTTTGGTAATGCCCTGAGCAATGAGGCTTCCCTCGTGGACGATCAGCCATGGGTGTTGTGAGATGCTGGCCCTGTAGGCAAGGTGAGCTTGTCTGGGCAGAGGCGCTGTCTGCATCGCTGAGGGTCTTGTGGTGGGAACACCCTGGCAAAGATCAACCTGAACTTTTCTGAACCTGGGCAATTAATTCCTTCTTGACTAAGTGGGTACCCTTGGGGAGAAATGCATGGGCGTGATCACAGATGATGTTACTCTGTGTGCAGCATCACTGTGGGTGCTGGCCTCTTCTCTAAAGTGACAAGTGATGGGAAAAGAGGAAACGGCCTGAAGTTTCGCCAGGGGAGGTTTAGGCTGGATATTAGAAAAAATTTCTTCACTGCAAGAGTGATGAGGCATTGGAACAGGCTGGCCAGGGCAGTGGTGGAGTCACCATCCCTGGAGGGGTTCAAGAAACATGTAGATGTGGTGCTTGGGGACATGGGTTAGTGGGTTGGCTGGTGTTGGGTTGACGGTTGGACTGGATGATCCTTGAGGTCTTTTCCAACTTTAATGATTCTATTCTATTCTGAACTCAGTACTCAACTGTGCAAGATGGGGCCTCTACTGAGAGGACTTGCCACCCCAAGAGATGTCCACAGCTCATCTGTTGTGCTTAGCAGTGGCCTTCTCACCTGAAGAGGACAGAGCACACAGTGCAGGACAGGGTGCACCACTTCGAGGCAATGAGACCATGCCCAGGAAGTATAGAGCAGGAAAGAATAGCCATGAGAGACGTGGGAACCCAAAAATCTTTGCTCAGAAGTACCAGACTCATTTGAGCAGAAGGGGACACATCCTGTCAGGGCCATGTTTGCTGTTCACTGGGGTGTAGTTCTGTGGGTGGCAGCTCCTGGAGCCCTGCAGCAGGAGGGAGGCTCCTGCCATGCCTGCAGGAGTAGGTGGGTCACAGGAACCTCTGCTGCCACCGAGTCATGAGCTGCCTCAGTCCCGCCTTTGGCAGCCAAAGGGGTTTTGAGTCAAGGCACTAGCAGTCAGGTTCCTACAGCTGGGCACAGAGAAATGACCCTGCTTTTTTCCAGCATCTCCCCTTTCCCCAGACAGCCAGCTGCAAGCACGCTGCCCCGCGGGGTTTGTCCCACAGCCCTCTCACTGCTCTCTGCCCACTGTCTTCCCCCTCCACCTGCCGTTTCTCGACAGGCTGGGAAG